GGTGTGCATAGTCTAGCAATTGTCCCACACACGTCTTTTTCTTTCACAATCCTACTCCAACAGCAAGAGATTACTAGTCTCTCAAGGACAGCATAATTCATGGTAGTGCTCACTTTCAATTGAAAGTACTGGAGCAGCAGTTCCTTTTTTACTGCCTGAGAGGCCAGCTGATCTCTTACTAAAGGGGAAACTTTGCTAAACAAAGGAAGTAATTTTAAAAGAAGAAAATAATAACATCTGTCTACAGATATGTGGGGAGGGAAAGAAGAAATGTGAAAATAGAGATGGTGGGGGAAAAAAAGATTTAAAGTTTAGGAAGCTGAAAGTCCACGTGGGATAGGGGCAGCATATCCAAGTGGCAGACTAAACGTAGAGAGTTGTAATGGGAGTAAGTATGGTGAAGTGAGGAAGAGTGTATAAAATGAAGCACAGGAAAAAGGTATAAAACCCTCAAAACTAATTCAGAGATTAAGACACTGCTGCATCACTCCATTGCCAGTAGAGGTGCTAAAGCCACGACTATGGAACATAGTAACAAAATGTTCAAGGAAAGAAATAATTCCTATATTTAGATAGGTAGAGTATTTCAGAATATGAACAATAATGCAGTGCAGCCATCCATTTAGAAATTAATTTCTATATGTGTCTGTAGCTGAAAACAAAAAGATCTCCAGCAAGAGGCAGAAGAGGTTCCCTGAAAAAGCTCTGCAGCCAGCCAGGGAACAGAACAAGATACTTCTGGCCATGCTGCAGCCAGAGAACAAGGAGATCAGCAGGTACCAGTTGGCAGCTGGGGCACAGTAAAACCCTTCTACAAGCTGAGCCAAGAATAATCTTCTTCAAAAGTGCTATGCTACTTACAAACGTTACTCTTGTCCAAGTGTTTTGTATTTGCCTCAGCGTAGTTCCAGGTTTTTCTTTTCTTCTTTCTTTCTTTTTTTTTTTAAGCTAATTAGAGGCTTATTGTAAACCAAAGGGGATTTCTGGGAGCTCTTTGGGTTTGTAAATCATGCAAATGACAGCACTGTGATGTTGGATCATATTATTAATTGTATATTTTGCAGTTCACATGCTCTCAAGCATGTGTGTGAAACAAGTGGGTTTTTTGTGGGTTCATTATTTGTTTTGTTTGTGTTTTTTTCCCGCAGACCTTGATCTCAATAAGTTTCAAAAAAAGTCCTCAGGCAGACTGGTAAATTGTTTTTCTCAGTTTTCTTGATGTTAAAGAAAAGTATCATTTCAATGATGCAGAGTATTCTGTGCTAATATATTTACAACATTGTGCATGCACTATGAATAAAAAAAACTTCACAGATTATTATATTTAAAGTTGGAGCTCTTTCTGTAAAAAAGTGCTTACCTTCTAGGCTGGTTTGTGATTTTGCCTGAGCTTTCATAAACCTGGATGAAAAACTTTTTTGCTACAGGAAACTGGTTGGTAACTGAATAAATAGCACTATAATCTAAGTATTGAACACTTCCACACACTGTGTTATTTAGCAAAGCATTACTCTTCCTGTAGCATAAAATGGAAATTCTCTATAAATAAATAATACCCTGAATAATATGTCAATATGCAACATTTACAAACGTGACACTTAATTTATGCCTCAACTGCCAATTTCTGCAGCTAATTCTACCAATTTTCACACTGTGTCCATTACAAATGAAATTCCCTTTGCATTAGGAGACACATCTTTCATTGATTCAGAAAAATATATTTGTACTTCTTTCTTATGTTGGCAGGGTAAGAATAGAATTGTCATACGACATCGAACTCAATAAAATAAAAAACTAAGAGGAAACTATCATACGGGTTTTGTTGATTGGACATTTGGAACATACAGACATATGCATGTCCAAAGGCTAAAATGTACAACTCATGCAGTTTATACGTCTGTAAATGGATCTGACTTGGATGCAGGTAGTATAACAAGTTTGCCAAACTGTGGTGTCAGTGTCACATTTTTGCCCCAAGAGGAGTCCAAACTACTCGCTTTCTTTTTGCTGGGGAATCTTCAGTTTTAAGCACTAATTATTCTGCTCTCATGTAACTTTTTTATAAAAGTCTTTCTCCATGTAGTCTTTGCAACAATACCATGCAGAGAGATAACAAGGACAAACTTAAACATTTTTAATGCTGGATCATCTGTTGATGCATAATATTGATCTGAATGCCAAATTTAGCTGGTCATTAAGAAGGGAAGGAGCCAGCAGAATCATTAAGTGTGAATGCATAGGTTTCTGATTTAGACTGCAAATGTCTTAAAGAAGGTCTGTATTTTTGTATATTTTGTCAAATAGTTGCAGAGAATCATTGTTGTGGGGAATCACCCTCAGCTGATGTGATATTGAGAACCAGAAGGATTCTGCCCTCAGTAACTATCCCCTGATTTTTGTATATTTTTGAGTAGTGGGCATTGCCCACAAAAACACTTGCACCTTCAATAATTACAGTGACCTGTTGGGTAGCTTTTTTTTCATAATTTTTTTTCCACCAATATTTTTCCACCATTACAGTAAATGGTGATCCATTGGAATTTGAGATTGGCAAGATCTGGATCCCAGGTTTCATTACTTCCCTTATGATATTTGCTCTAACATTGTTTAGATTAATACAAATGTAATGAGCTCTGAATTCACTCATCATGTGCATTCATGCCACATTGTTTAAGAAATCATGCAGCTGCTTCCTGTCTCGCTGTGCCAGGGATGCCTGCACGGTACTCTGCTGCTTTCCTGCCTCTGAGACTCTGTTCTCCATATATCTGTCAGATATCTACCCCTAATGGGAGCTCACTTCTTGAGGAATTTTTGTCTTCCTTTTCTTTTTAAAGACCCGCATAAGGGCTGGTCAGGTGATTTCTTATGTTACTACCAAATTGAGCATCTGGGGAAGAAAGAAGGTCTACCTGTGTGTATCTTGACATGTTGAGATTCTATATGGCATTTTTTTCTTTAGAAGTATGTTGTTTCATGCTGGAAATACAAAATGGAATATATGACCTATTGCAGATACGTTTCATTTCTTTAGCAAAGACTTTCAGTTTTAAAGCTTTCTCTCCCCTGTATGAGATACAAGAAAGGACATTGTATTTATATTGATGAAAACTTCTTGTATTCAAATCAAGGGTGTTTATTGTCTCAGTGTAGGGTAGCTTAATGTAAAATAAATCCTTTGGTTTTAGGTTACTTGTTTAATTGTGACTATGTCAAAAAATAACAGGAGCCGTTTTCATTGAACATACGATTACTAGTCTATATGTGTTCTTATTCAGTTTCTGTCTGGAAAGATGTTTACTACATAAAAGTATCCTCAAACTTGAGGGCATTTTTTGATTTTTTTAATGCAAAAAGATTAACTCAATGCGGACCTCCAGACATTCTAGTGGGATAATATAGGAAGTTTCTCTAGTTGGAAATTCTGATGGGCTGAGAACTTAAATCCTCTGAGGAATCAACCCATTGGCTTTTATGAATGCTTAGGGAAAAAAGGAAATATATAGCTGGAAAGAGGAAGAAACCTCGTTGTAGGATATGTGATGGCCAAATTCAAAAAAGACATATGTATGGGGAAGTAGTGATGAACCATTAGAATTGTTTGAGCAGGGCAAGTGAAAGGAAGAAAAAAACCAGGAAATAATACTTTTCTTATGACAAATGGATTTTAACAGAAAACCTTAACGAGGAAAGAAAATGTGTTCCGATTGTGATTGCTCTTCTTCTGAGAAGAACAAGACTTTTGCTAAACAGCTTCCAAACTTTAGTGTTAATTCAGCAGGTCTAGCATGAGACAAATCCTTCCTTGGGAGAAACATTGTTTCATTACATGTGCTGATTTATGATACAGAATCAGCTGTATTTTAATGATGACGGGACTAGACTGTAAATATAAACTAGGACTCACAAATATGAGAAAAACTCATTTGTGCTTAATATACTGCATAAATTGTTCCTGGCTTCTTAGGGTGTGACTATACTTGCTGTCACACTCCTAAGTTTACTCAAGAATTGTGTGATTTGCTGAATAGGTGTCATGTAAAGGAAAACCTGATGGGATGGATTTTATATACCTATTCTTTTCCCCAATGTCCTGTTGTCAAAAACCCTTTTTTTCTTCCCTTCATCAAAGGAAAATCCCCTCAAGGCTAAAGGCAAATCATAGGAGCAAGGAAAATGACCACCAATAACCTTAGCAGTATGAAATTTATCATGGTGATTTTGTTTTAGTGAAAGGAAAACACTAGTTACTGGCTGTCAAAAAATTCCAATTTGAACTTTAACTTCATGGGCAGCAGCTTTAAAATCTATCTAATATTTTTATTTCTTCAGTTAAGCTTCTTCAGTTAATATCAGGCTGTGGGATTAAATCCTAGCTTTTGACGTTTACTGGGAAATGTAGTATAACGATTTATGAGTAAAAATGTACTTTGAATAAATTATCATTGCAAATTACAGTTTGTGAACGTTGTGACTATAACCATTATTACAACATTGGCTGTGCACAATTTGAAATCTTGCTTGCTGAATAAATTTGTTTCATTCAGATTGCATTCCCAACATTTTTAGAAAAGAGTGAATCAAGCCTCACCAAGTTTCCTACAGAATTTATTAAAAAAGTCACCTTTGTTTGCTAAACTTATCTAGAACATAAACATTTCTTGGATTAGTGAGACGCTATTTTAGTCTGAGAGTTTCCTATTGAAGTTTACTAAACCATAGACTCAGAAGAGCTTCTGTATTATAGCCTTTAGCTATTTATATGCCCTAAAATTGTTACAGTTAAAATTGATTCTGCAAGCTGTTAGGAAAGAAACAGCCAATAGCCAAAATTAGGTATATTACTGTAAATTGGAGAGGGAGAGAGAGGTTTAAAGCTGTCTGGCAAGAGAAGGGTTAAGGACTTTTTTGCTATACCCGTTTCAAATTACAATGAGAAGCCTCTTCTTTCCCAGCAGGGTTGTGCTTACATTAGTCTTTAGATCTCTCTTGAAGAGAGCTGTTATATTTGTGCCTGCTACAGTTGGAAATAACAGTTCAGAAGCCGAAAAGGGTTGAATGGATTTACAGGAGGTTATTTTTCGCGAGTAAATTCATGGCAACACATTAATTTGATTAGTACATGCTTTAGAATTACTTTACACTCAAGCGATTCAAACGATGTTAAAGTTATCACCAGGCTGCTGGACAAATATGTGTTACACCACCAAGGTACAGATCAAGACAAATCTGTGACTCAGGATTTATCTTGGGAAGAGCGCAAGGTGTACGAAGAACTCAGAATAACAAGGGAAGATAACTCTGGGAACTACAATGTGTCAGAAGAACAGCTCTTGCTAATACAGCTCCCCACCAAAGACCTGGTTATCTAAGGTTTATATAGGAATGCCTAGGTCAGCTGACAAAATACTGGTCTTCTGCTCCATAAATGCAGAAAAACTGATAACAACAGTGGAAAATTGGAAGTCTGAATTTCAGCTTTCTTAGAAATAACTGCAACCTGACACATTCCATAATATTTAAACAGGGTGGGGGGAGAGAAATCACCAAAGATGTTACGTTTAGAGATGACACTGACATGAAGAATAGGTAAATTTTGTTTTTCAGCTACTGGGAAAGCAGACCTCATAGGAACTCAGAACAAGTAGGAGAAAATATTTTTTTTTCTTTGTTCTTTTCCTTTTCAAAGATGAACCTAACTGCACTCAAAGCTTTCGTGGGCTTGCTCTGGAATTGCTGGGTTCTGGTGGGTCACGCACAGGGAGGTTTAGGAGACAATCATGTCCATTCGAGTTTTATTTACAGGAGGCTGCGGAACCATGAGAGAAGGGAGATTCAGAGAGAGATTCTCTCTATCCTGGGTTTACCTCACAGACCCAGACCATTTTCACCAGGAAAGCAGGCTTCTTCTGCACCCCTCTTCATGCTGGACCTGTACAATGCCATGACAAATGAAGAGAATACTGAGGAGCTGGAATATTCACTAAAGGGATCAATGGCAGGGGAGAGCAGAGGGATACGGAAAGGATACCCTGCCTCTCCAAATGGATATTCACGGAGAATACAATTATCTCGCATGACTCCCCTGACCACACAGAATCCTCCCTTAGCCAGCCTGCACGACACCAACTTTCTGAATGATGCTGACATGGTCATGAGCTTTGTCAATTTAGGTATGTGGAATTTTTTTTTATTTTTTCTTTTTTTGTTTCTTCTCGCTTTGACAAACTGTTAGCTAGATCTTGTGAGGGGAAAACCTCCTGGCCAGGCTGTAACCTGTTCTAAAACGGCAGGATCGGGCCCCGGCTGCTGTGCCACTGGTAAAAGAAAAATCGTACTGATGGTGAAGTAGCTACGTTGTAGGTGGCCATGGAAAAAAGATTTTTCTCACTGTTTATATAAAGTCAGTTTCTATAACTCCCCTCTGCTGGCTTCTGTTTTCTTTCTTTCATTGATGTAATGAAAATTCTAGCCTTAGGCCAACTAACTCCTTTTTTTTTTTTTTTTTAATCTCAAAAAATCAAACGCTTATGCCTATTGCTCAGTTATTTCCCCCACTGTTTTCCTCAAAGCTCACACATGAACAAGCAGCAGTTGTTAATATTTTAAAGCCTAGAAAGTTATGAAAAGGGAAAAGATAAGCCATTTAAAAAAAAAAAATTCTGAAATTATTTAGTGGGGTTTTTTTCTGTTGGTTAGAGTAAAAGTTTTATTATCTTTTCAGTTGGATGGCTGGAATTTAATCTGTTGCTGTTTCTTTGTTATTTCTATTTAATAACTACAGACTGTGTTTTATTATACTGCCATGCTCAGTCTGCAATGGTTCTTATTTTCTGTGTCATAAATAAATTAAATAACAAGTAAAGTATTAAACACCAGAAACATGCAAGCAAAGAACGCTTTTGAAAATTGTATCAATTCAGACACAAAATCTGATAAAACTAAACTACATTGGCTTCTGAGTATAATAAACATGCTTACCAGTTACAGTGTAGTTAAAAAAAGCAGCTATGGATTTCTTTACTAAAAGGCAACTTAAATCTCATTTAGAAAGCTGCAAATAATTCATGAAATGCATTTACTGTTTTATAAGTGTTTTAAATGCTGCAGGACTCATAAAATTGCCTAAAAAACCCTTCTCATTCAACTTGAACAGTAAGAGATTTAATTGAAAACGTGAAGTTTCTCAATAAACTGGTACAAAATCTGATGAGCTCTTGTTTTCCAGTATAAGGATAATACTTTCTGTACAACAGTACATGTTCCAAAATACTTTCAGATTATCACACACTTTTTGTACCTTTTATGTCTACCAGATCTTTGATCCTTGCAGCAGAATTAAAAATGTTCCCAAACACTAAAATCCTCAATAGCTTAAATTTCTAGGAAAGTGACACTATAGTTTAGTTCTCGTAATAATAAAATCACTTTTCATTAATTTTTGGCAGATAAGGAGGTGTTTTTTGAGATTCTTTTTTTTAGATCTTTTTCCTTAAGAGTAAATATATTCACACCCCTAAATACATTTGCTTGTTGCTCTTGGTCCTGAAATAGCAGGCTAGGAAAAAACGGAATCTGGGTTTTTTTTGAAAATGTGTTCCTTGTCCTTAAGAAACAGTTACGTATTATCCATGAATTGCTTTTAAGTTAACATTGCATGCCTCGATTTACCCAGAGTATCTGTAGTCAGTTGAATTTAAAATGGCAACATAATACAGGAAAATAGGAAATGCTCTGATCTCCACAGCATTAGTCAAGGCAGAGATCCTGCAAAAATTTTCCTTGTGTGTTCTGAGAAATACCCTCTGTAAATATGTCGCAGACCATTCAACCAGCAGCCCTGAGGACTATTTACATGGGACCTAGCCTTTGATTTCACAAAATGTCTTTTATTTCAAGAGGACTTCTTGCAGTGAATAAGTAGAAGTCTCTGAAACTCAGTGTCAGATATGTCCTAGGCTGATCCTTCTGCACTTCCTCAGGCACAAACCCTGTCTGGAAGAATGTGGGTTTCCACTGAGTGTCTTACCTTGGATGGAAAGTTTCTAATATTTGACTCATTTTGTTAGGAAACCAGTATTGCCTTAAGAAAGTAATTCTGAGAAGCTAAAGCACATCTTATGTTTCTAAACTGTGAAAACTGGGGGTAAGATGCTGTATTTTTGAAGTGATTATGATTAATAGACACCATTAACTTATAAGAAAATACTGTGTAAATGTCAGGTTTTATTCGGCATCTGTAAAATTAAAATATGTCTCAGCTCTAAGTTAGTCTAAGTCCTAATTCAGTTTAAATGCCCTTCCATACGTGTTGGATGTTGTGGTTTATTGCACATTCTGCCATGTAACATGTGTAAAAAATATTGATGACCAATATAGATTAGCTTCAACATTTTTATTAAACAATCCTATGTTTGAGTATAATTAACATTAAAATGAAATAAATCACGGAAACAAGGGATCATTTTATATGATTTATGCAGTGTAAGATTGTGACAGATGAGGGCAAGCTCTTTTAATGTAGAATGGGGAAAAATATGCAGTGATAAGTGAATGCTAATGCTGTACCTTAAAATCAATAAATGCTGATGCAGCATAGTAATAACTCAACTGGTTTTAGATTTGAAGCCTCAGTCAACTTGCATGAAATTAATGTGCTCTGAAAATAGTATTCACCATGTTCATAGTCGCACACAATTAATTACAGAAGGTGTAATTATAAAACTCTATTAATCATCATGATATTTTAAATTGAAACTTCTGTATATAGTTGTAGCCAGTTATAAAAATTGAAGACTTATATACTAAAACAGTAACTATGTAGCTGAGATGTTGGATTGAAATTATTAAGCACAAAATTGAAAAGACTGAATAAGGTTAAAAGGTAAAGTAAAAAAAATAGACAAGGATAAATAATTTTGCATGAAAGAATAAAAATTGAAACTTATAAGCTAATTTTGATTAAAAATCAAACTGTCAGAGTTGCAAGTACCTCACTTTCAAAAAAAAAAATTAGAAAATAATCATCAAGGGAGCTGCGATCATAATTCTGTCAAGCAATCAGGGAGAAAAATAAGAATGCGTTTACTTCTCCTAAAGTTAAAATTGTAAACACCTGTTCTTTCTACTGGAATTTATATCAGAATTTCCATCTCCTTCTTTCTTGAAAGATACAACAAGACAGAGACTATGTCTTGTCCTGTGTTTTGTATAAGACCGTGTGTGTTGGCAACTGTCCACAAATATTGATGAGTGTAACAGAGGAGTTAACTGGGTTTGGTCCAGCAGTCAAAGAATAAATCCTACACTAAACACACTGGGGTTTTCAAAGACCTGATTATATCACCCACAAATTCAGAACTTTGTTTTCCTCACTGACTGTTTTTTTTATCCTGTTATTATACTTTATTATATTATTGCGAAGCCCTGACTGTTTAGAGTTCTGGCATCTTCTTTTTGGCTGGTCTCCCAAAATGACATATATAGGACACCTTGTTCCTCAGAGAACAGGCAAATAATATTCATGTAGTCCTACTCACTTTTCTGCTCACTCAAAATTTAGTAAGGGAATGACTTTTTTAAGATAAATGTTAGTGTTCCCACTCTTCACCTCTCACTGAAAGAGGGGGATTTAATAAAAAAACATGTACACATCTGAGGCTTGGAGAAACAGCAGCACTTTTGTAAACTGCATTTAAACATTTCAAAAACTGATTTTTCCATTTTCATCAAAGTGATCATTAAATCCACGATACTTAAGTGTTCCTTTTCATGCAATTCAAATGGTCTGTATTTTCACTTATTTACAACACATCTGTTAATTTTTCTCCTAGCAGATTGTTCCATTAGATAAGCAAGTCTATTTGCTTTCTTCACAAGTTGCTGTCAATTGATATGAACCTTGTATAAAATAGGGTATAAATATGTACAAGTTTTGTGGTTTTCTATTACGTTTTCCTTCTTAGCATGTAAAATTAATATCAAAAACATGAAATAAAATTTGTGACCCTGCCCTACAAGTGCTAAGAAGGATACGATATTACTGAGGTTTTTAAAGTAACTGGTACACTCCAGAAAGACTTCTCAAGCTCTTCTTCTTCACTCACAATGTGATTCCACAATCATATAATCCTCAAGACACATGTGCTGTGTTCAGTTCTTAAATCAGACACTGAAATCAACGGAAATTTTGGTCTGAGGCACAGATGGGATGTTCATATTTGTCCATCTTCTCTACCCAAAGTTTGTACACTGTCTTAAGGTTCATATTCTTTTCTAAAACCTGAATCACTAAGCAAATACATAAATTCACAAGATTTACAGCCCATTGTGTACATTGGAGAATGCTAATACAGCACAGAACATTTTTTATACAGCTACTTTCAGAAGCATATACTATATCGATCCACACCGACTACCTGTACAAATATATTTTTGTTACACATGAAAAAGAAAGGATTCCTAACTGTAATCAGATCTTGAGCATATGTAGTAGCTCATTTCTTAAATTAAACTAATTCAGTTTCTACAACCTTCCACTCACAGCTAACATATCATCAGCGAGGGATATGGAGTGCTAAACTATAAAATGCCAGGAGCTGTGGAAGGGGAGCTGGGATCATAAACTTTTCTCCTCAAAGCTTAGAAATGAGCACATTTTCTTTCTTTCTTTTCCACTGCATTTCAGATGTTGTTGTCTTAATTTTAACTGTATGTGAATTTTCTTAGCTGTAGTACAGATTTAGTCCATAAAACGCAGGCTTCTAATGAAAATATTGACACAGTCTTAACTAAAGTGATAGAAGTAGTGCTATTATATTGCCTTGAACAGAGGGATGATGTTACAGAGATAAAACTTCTCAAATAACAAATAGACCCCATGTCTTTAATTTTGGAATGGGATCAATACTGAGAAAAAATGAGAAAACATTTGTGAAGTTTTTTTGAAGGGTAACCCAAAGTCATTAAGATGTCATTTTTCACTCTTTTACATAAAATTTAAAGCAAATTAGATCAAGCAGGTCTCATTTAACCTTCATCTGAAGTAGACATCACTTGACATCTTGAAATCCTAAGATTTCTTTTCCCTTAATAAAATTTTTGTCACCCAATCAGTGAGTGGAATGAATTTCTTGTGACCTAGATATGCAGTCAGACATTAGAAATAGCTATT